TGGTTAATTTGGATAATCTAGTGATGCCCACACTAGGCAATGCCTGTATCGTGGGCACCGATATTAAATCCACAAAATTACAAAACCCACACTCACGACATTTTAGCATTTAACAATTATCAGTTACTCCGGTATACATATAATAAAAAAACAAAATTTAAGTAAATGAAAAGAAAAATAACTTAAGTTTGAAATATTTTCTTCAAAGTTGAATTTAACATTTAAACTTGAAAACTTTACTACAAACTACATAGGTATCTACAGATGAAGAGACTTTAGAAAAGGCGATTCTCTGGGGACCGAGTTGTGACTCCACGGATCGCATTATGGAAAATTTCACGATACTTTTGCCACAATGTTCACCGAGCGATTGGCTCATATTACCAATCCAAGGCGCGTATTCATTCGGATTTGCTACTCACTTCTCTTGCCTACCAATGACAAGAACAAGAATTGTAATTAGTTCTGAACTTTGGTAAGGTATTTTATAATTTATTTCTTTTTTAAGATATCAAATTACAATTAATCAGAATAAATAAAGAATGAAAATGGTTATCTAGCTCTTTAGCTAGTGGAATATTCTAGAGGAAATTCTCACTTTTGAAGCTTGCTAACACGATTTCTGATAAATAGTAATATCAATAACGTACTACTTTATTTTATTAGCATGTAACCTGTTTCAGGTACAAACTGAAAGATAGCAAAGTTTTCAAGACGTCCGATTTTGTAGTGAAGCCGGATATAAATGAGCCCCTTCCAACTACAATGCCAAAAGTTATTACAGAAAACATTACGACAGATGTTAAGAGTCTGTTTTTATTAGCATAAATATAGCACAGCATCTATTAAATTGATAATTTACTTATTCTTGAAACTTTTAATGAAAAATTATTTCAAAACATAATACATCTGTATTTCTTATTAGTTTGTTATTTATTCCTATGTAGTACATAGTGATATTTTTATTATTTCATTGTCTAAGTAAACAGCTATGTTTAAAACATCGATGCATTATTAACAGCAATGTAGTATGCTATTGTTACAGCGAGTGACAATCTAGTTAACTCGCCTTTGTATCGTCCGTGATGTTAAAATAATCGTGCAACATTTCCTCATTAAAATTTAAATTTTCGTTTCATTATTACCATGTAAAGAGCTATAAAAAACAGTTCACTTAAAAAGATTGTTATCTTATCTTTATATATATATATATAATTATTCTGTGAGTGTGTATGTCACTGAACTTCTCTCAAACGACTGGACCGATTTTGATGAAATTTTTTGTGTGTGTTCAAGGGGATCTGGGAATGGTTTAGATTTTTTTTTTTTTTTATAACAAAAGGGG